GAAGATGTGGTATATATATATACACAACGGAACACTACTCTGCCATAAAAAAAGACAAAATCATCCCATTTGCAACAACATGGATAGACCTTGAGGGTGGTAAGCGAAATAAGCCAGGCAGAGAATGACAAACACCGTATGATTTCCCTCAAATGTGGAAGATAAACAAACTTACGGACAAAGAGAACAGATTAGTGGTTACCAGGGGGAACAGGGATGGATGGTGGGCACAAGGGGTGAAGGGGCACATTTATATGGTATATGACAAATATTAATGTACAACTGAAATTTCACAATGTTATAAGCTATTATGACCACAATAAAAAAAAAGTTCTCATCACAAGAAAAAGAAAATTTTGTAACTATGTGAGGTCATGGATGTGAATTAAACTTAGGGTGGTAATTATTTCACAATATATACATATACTAAATCATTATGTTTTACGCCTTAAACTTATACAATGTAATATGTTAATTACACTTCAATAAAACTGGAAAAAAATAATTGGCCTAAAATAATTCTTATGCCAAAGAGGCATACTTTGGGGTGCCAAATTCTGTTCCTGGTCCTGTGGTTACGATCTCAAAAATCCTGCTGGATGAAACAAAGCTTAAACACTTTAAGGAAAAATTTGTATTTGGGGACTTTTGACCACAGAAACCACTGAGCTGTTAATCATTTAATATTTTCCTAATATCAATAAAACCTATTTTGTACTATAAACATATGCAGGATTTCTTGATTTTAAGACTGGCTATCTCTGCTTTCAATTCTGTGAATTGGGCCACGAGAGAATTCAAGCCCTTAGAACTTGGCAATGACGTGATTAGACATATGTTACCTACGAGAAGCTACTTGATGCTGCCAGAGATCATAGCCCAATATCCAAACTGCAATACTAATCAGTGTGCCAATTTTCAGACTTTGTAAATCAACTGAAAAGTGAATCATCTCTGTTACTGACTCATAATAAAATAATAAGGTTGAACCTATTGCAAAAATGCCTACAAATGGAAGAAACTATGAGAAAGACAGAAAATTGGATTTCAGCTATGTAATAAAGGAAAAGTGGGGATAGCCAGGATTGCAGCAGACTCCTCAATATCTAACAGTTGTGTGTGTGTGTGGGGGGGCGAATGTTATATAAGTCATTAGAATGTCATGAGATTGCCTTTATTAGTCACAAATCAACCACATCAGATTAAGCCTGCCCTTGTTGTAACAGAGCAAATTAAAACAAAGTGCACTTAATTGATGATCCTATTTTATTATGTACGTTTGTTCTTTGTGGAAGATATACTTTTCCCACTATGAATATGCATATTCTCTACATGTTTCTTCACATTCATTTCGCCTCCTTGTTGGCACTTTAAGAACGTTCAAGTTAGACAACAAGAAGGAATGTTCCTCAAGGCGTACAGTAAGCAAATTGCTGAATTTCATTCAGGAAATTCTCGTATTGAACTGCAAATAATGATTGGCCTTCTAGTTAAGAGATCACCCTTACTCCCAGCCCCCTGTCCAAACGTGATGCAATTTGAGACCCTCTGGGTTTCTCATTTCCCTGTACTTGTTGCCTTTAGGTTCGGCATCAAGGAATTATTCTCATTAGAACAATAGCAACAAAAACCCTTTGTTCTTTCGTTGGTCTCTTGAGTGGTTTTAGTCGTACTGAACTCAAACACCTATTTGCTATTTCTTATAACTATGAATTCTACATCTCAGTGGGGTCATTACAGCCCTACAGCATGAGATAAATCAAATTGTATGGAATTTGTCTGAAAGATTTCTAAAGACCAAAAGGAGTGCATGTGTCAGGAAGAAAAATAAGGGTGGATGGAATCTATTCACACCTCCAAGATCATGGAAAACTCCCTCTCCTTAAAATAGCTGCCCCTTGTGGCAGGTACTGCTTGCTGCCTTCCCCAAATCCACTTCCTTTCTTTCTTCCTAGCAGCATCCCTGATTTTGTCCATGTAAGCTATGTCTTTAAAAAGACCCATCTCCCGGAGTGCCTTTGTGTTAAGGAACTGTTCCGTATCTTGACTGTGACCTCAGTTATATGAATCTATACAGGTGACAAAATGTCACAGAACTATGTACACAGACATATAAAAAATGAAAAATGAGATGAAAAAGACTGGTGAAAGCTTAATGGGGTTGGTAGTCTAGTTAATTGTAATCTATCAACGTAAATTTCTTAATTTTGATTATGTATTATAGTTATGGAAAATATAACTATTGAGGGAAGTAGTGTAATGGCTACAAGAGAACTCGGTACAATTTTTGCAACTTCTTGTGCTTCTATAATTATTCCCAGATAAAAACTTAAAAAAATAAAGATATTGATCCAGACTTCCTTGCAAATAAGGATGACCCTGTGACTGAACTTTGACCAACGAGATATTAGCAGGATTGCACAGGTGGCGGTCCTGGGTAGGATATTTTATCATACAACTGCACATGTTTTCACCTTTTGCCCTTCTTCCTGCAAGGAACACAGACATGGGGCCAGATATGCAGCTGGTTTCCTGCAAGTACGAAGTAGCAAGTTGCATAAGTAGGTGAAGAAGAAAATTAGAAGGAATTTGGTTTCTTGACTAGACTAGCCCAGGATAGGTTACTTTGGAGTGTTGTTTCATGTGAGAAAAATAATCCCCTTTGATGTTCAAGACCATGTAGTAGAGTTTATGTTCTTTGATGTTGCATGTAATCCTAAATAATACCTTCTTCTTCGTTCCAAATGTAACCTTGGTCACCAAAGGTCTGGGTGCCAATGGACTTTTATTTCATTATCCTTAGGAGAACCATGGAGAGTGCCCTGGATGACATTTTAGGAGTCCTGTGTTCTTGTAACAATTGACCCATGAGGTATTGGTGTGCCCTCAAAAAAGGAGTTCCATGTTCTCTAAGATGAGAGGGTTGCATTTAAGAAGACTGGAGGCTCTTGTTTGCACAATTAACGACAAACCTTGAACTAGGGAATGGATAATGATGGAATCTAGGGACATGCTAAATCAGCACCTAACAATCGAAGAGTATTGGTGGAGTAAATAATGTGAGCAATAGATGGATATTGGAAGGAAGGAGGCAGACCAAATCACTTTCCACAATTATTTACTCCTCTTTTCCTTGTAAGAGAATAATCACTCTTGCCTATTCCCATACATCTTGCTGTGCTTCCTGGGAGAAGAGTAGACATCTTGCCTCACTGCCTTGGGTTTGGCCCTATGACATGCTTTGGCCAGTGGAATGTGAGAGGATGTGATGTATGCCGTGTTCACACAGGAACTTTCAGAGGCAACACTAATTTCCGTCAGAATTCTTGACCTTCTGCTGTGCCATGAACGCAAGCGTGGCACACACAGGAGCATCTCTTCCCCTCTAGGTGCCTGCATGAGAAAACACATGTGGCAGACCTATAAACTGGCTGCAGCCAAGCCACAGCTGAGACATAACATGAGCAAGGAATAAACCGTCGTTGTTGTAAGCCACTAAGATTTCAGAGATTCTATTACCGCAGCAAATCTGACTATTACTGAAAGGAACCTACAGGCCTTTGACGAAAAGCAGTCCATGGAGGTAGTTGCAGAAGTGCAAAAGCCATAGTCTAAGGAGGAAATTGTGATTAGAAGCTGGGCAATAGAGTCAGGCACTGAAGAATGGGAACTTGGACTTGGTTTGGTAAATTCTCTAAGTTCTGCCAAATGTTTTCTTTTCTATCACATGACTTAATGGCTACCAGCAGGGGCTGTGAAGCCAGATGCAGGCATTCTAATCTCAGCTTCTCCATATGCAAATTGTGTGTCCTTGGTCAAGTTACATAATATCTTCTCTAACTAAGGTAATAAAGAGAACTTAACTCATTGATTGGTATACAGGAGGATTAAATGTATTAATACATAGCACTTTGAACAGTGTTTTGTCTATATTATGCACTCAATAGTTAGTTAATGTGAGAGGGCTTTTTCCCCCCATTATGCTACACTACTCTGCTTTTGGCTAAGACAGTAAGAACACTACCAGAACTGTGAACATAAGCACTGACCAATGGATGAAGGTCTTGAAGGAATTAGATAGAGCAAGACAAATAAAAGTCAGAAGAATGAGTCCAATGAGAAATGCTTTCTCTCTCATCTCTATCTATGTATCTATGTATCTATCTATCTGTCTGTCTGTCTATCTATCTAATCTTCCCTTCTATTTCCTTGCAGATTGGTCTCCAAAGAAAAATGTTTATCAAAGGAAAAGGCACACTTTAAAATGGCTTTGCTTTTTAGCTGAATTGCTATTATTTTTTTTACCAGAAAACTTTAAGCATACACAAAACTGAAGAGAAATGTGCTAGAGCCCCCATATATCTGGCATGTAAGTATAATCATCATCAAATCATGACCATTCTTGCTTCATCAATGCCCTCCGTTCCCCTGCCCCACTAGATTATTAAGAAAATCCCAGATGTCATAGCATTTGGTTGAAGAACTTTGAAAAGTCGTTTGCAATTAATCTTTTTCTAATAAAGGATAGCATGTTTACACTCTTAGAATATTCTCATTATGAGTTACATAGTATCAGAAAATTAGAGTATAATAATTAACTGATGGGTGGTATATCAGCTTGTTAAAATAGAAACTGTGGGCTGTGATCATGGGCTAAAGCCAAGAGACTGCCACACTTGCTTCCCACATGGCTTCAGGGCACTTCTTTTTGGAGTGCAGTGGTATGAGAGAGACTTTTAAGAGTGGCACTTTACAAAACCTTAAGAACAAATTGATGCAAAATATCAGTTCACTTTGTTTCAATATATATTTAAAGACCACCAAGAAGGCAATATGCTTTCATATTTAGGAAAATAGGTGAGTCCAAGACAGGCTCTGCCTGTATAGTGTAGTGAGTATTAGACGTATGTGTAGCTAATTATACCCCAAGGCAGTTTGAAGACGTTAGTGTAGAATTCCAAACCAAAGGCTCTATCATCACAGAGGGAGTGTGAGTAACTTTATATTTGGGGAGATGAGGCAAAGAGAGACAGTTTCATAGAGGAAGCAATTTTAAATTTAGCTTTTAAAGAATAAGTAGCATTTTGACAGGTGGACTAGGAGGTGGGTGGGCAACAGCCAAAAAAAAAGCAAGAGAGAAAGAAAGATGCTTTAAAAGGTATGAAACTATATACATGTTAATCTAGAAATCAGTGACATTTAGGACCCCAATTCTGGAAACTTCTTTCCGGTGTTACACAAGTCCAAGCAGTGTTCTAGAAACTTGCTTTTTTAATGGATGTCATTTGTTGGCATAAAAAATTTTCAGCATACAGATGAAATTTAATGGGTAAATCAAATAATGTAAACTTTTTATTCATTTTAAATATTCCTATAAAACTGGAGTTGGCAAACTATAGCCCTCAGACCAAATCTGTCCACTGCCTGTTTTGTAAATAAAGTTTAATTGAAACACAACTGCACCCATTCATTTAGTATTGTCTATAGTGTTATGGTGCTACAATGGTAGAGTTGGGTAGCTGCAAGAGACCATCTGGCCTGTCAAGCCTAACAGATTTACTCAGGGTCGGGACCAGAAGTGTAACCATGGGCAAACTAGCAGCAGTTTGAACTGATCCCATCTTATCAACAGTCATTAAGAGTCGCTTTTCAGGAACTGAGAGCCAATCCCTTGTCCAATTCAGACTGGTTGAGACCATCAACCCATCAACTGGGCCTGTGCAAATGCCCGATGGGTGACCCCTTTGACATCATGGGCCTGAAAACTCCACCCTCAGATGATGCTATTGCCACCATTTTGTGAACATGCATCCTGTGAAGAGCCATGAAACTTGACTACACTTGCGCAGGTCATCAATTACCTCTCTTCTCCTTTCCTCCAATCATCTATCTCCACACTTCAAACCACCTGCCCTTTTATCCCATAAATTTTGCCCCAAGCCCTGGTTTGAGGAGACAGATGAGAGTGTTGCCTCCTGTCTCCTTGTTCATCAACCCTGAAATAAAGCTTTTTCTTTTCTCAAAAGCTGGTGCCATAATAATTGTGTTTTTTAACGCACATCGGGCAGGCACTCCCTCTTTGTGTGGCAGCAGGGTGAGGTGAACAAGGTGCCTAGGGTGCAAAATGTAAGTAGGCACTCATTCTCAGGGTCTCCTGCACGACCCTGAGAATGAGAGCTTCCCTAAATTTCGTGCCTCAGATGCCTCACTTGCCCCAGTCCTGGCCTTGTATTTACCACCTGGCTCTCTACAGAGGAGTTTTTCCAACTCCTGTTATAAAATAAAAGGTTTTGTAGGAGATTATATTCTGAAATTATTTAACAGTTTTCCTGAGATGAAATGAAGTCTGTTCATTCTTCAGTGGACAAGAAGAGTGGGTGATGGATTTAACATTCATTAATTTATAATAATATTCACTGAATGGTACCACCCCAAAATATGCCACTTTGGCATAAGGCAAATTGAGCTAAAGGCAATTGAAATCCAGTAGACACAGGAAAACTCTTTACCTCCCTCTAACTGCTTAAAAATAAAGTATATATTTCCCCTTTTGTAAAGGAAATTTACATTTTAAAAGAAATTTCCATTTGTAGATACGTCTCTGTAGAAGAAGAGAGACAACTCATCACCTCAGAGACTCTAATCTGTGTGACAGGACAACGTTTCTTTATCACACATTTCTTCCTCACCTTCCCCTACGTCGTCTCCCCTGCCCCAAAGACCAAAACCTCTTTTTCTTTGTTCAGCCTAAAACAGTATAAAGCCTCAATCATCCGGCTGCCTCCTGGAGCCATTTTCCTTTGTGGAGTTTGGTGAGTACATATATAATTGAAACCGTTTCTCTTGTTAATCTGTCTTTCATCAGTTTAATTTGTGGGCCTCAGCCATTGAACTTGGAAGGCAGGGGGGAAAGAATCCACCTCCCCCCATCACTAAATGAAAACTCTACTCCACCATTTCTGCAAAATAGCCTAGAGCTAGGACTGTTGACTGTAGCATGGGTGATTCAGTCAAGTAGGATTCATTTCTTGATCTTTTCCTTTTTTTGTTTATTTCATATGATATTTTCTTTTCCAGATATTTCCCCAAGTTGCTTGCTTTATTATAAACTTCAGGTTATATGGGCAGACTGCTTTGTATTTTATGCATTTGGAACCAGTGCATGCATTGAGTTTAATAAAATTCCTCTCATAAGATGAAAATAATATAAAATATATTTTTACAAATTTACAGAACCAGACAATAGGAGATTGGCCAGAATAAGTGAAAGCTCAAATGGAATGTGAATGACTCTTGCCCCTTCATTCTCTAGTGATTTTTCATCCACTCCTGCAGGCTACTCTGAAGAGCACTCTGAATATGCCCCAGTTTCCAGTGCTTCTAATGGAGCATTTTCCCATGAGTCCTATTGTCACTTCGGTGAGGGCATTCCTTTCAGAGAAAATTGCTTTAGAATAATGTTTCATGTGAGTTTTTACCCATCTTCTTGTAGCTTTTACCATAGAAAATATTTCAAGTTGTATAGTTTGAGGGCATCACATGGCTAGTGCTATAAACAATGAACTGAACCAGGGACCCAGATATAATGAGAATATGTTGTGAGACTTTGACATCCTTTTTTAGAAGAATATACAGATGCTTAGTTAAGAAATTAAAATTGTTGTGTATTTTGAAACCTATGGAATAGATATAAGATATTATGTTATAAAAAAATTCATTGAGTAAACATTAGATTCTGATGAAATAATGCAAGTAGTAGGAAAATGCAAGGATGCTTTTGGGGTTTTCAAAGCATTCCAGAGTGAAAATATATTTTTTTAACTGCTGCATAAAAAAGTAAATATCAAGTAGAGGTAAATAGAATAATTGTTATGATGCTCCAGGTAAAGTTAGAGATCATAAATTTTTAATGGATCTAATCAAAATGGATTACGTGAAATTATTAGTATTCCATATGCAAGAGTGGAAAGTTGAACGTATAACATTTACCCAAGGTCAAAATAAAAAGCTTAGAAAAGGTGGTGGTATGATCATCTTAGAGAACTAAGAAGGCAAAGCACAGAGAAATCAAAGGGTAGTTGAAAATAATAAAATACATACTGATGTGTGCATTGTCACTATTCCCAGCATATTCTTACAGCTCAGAAATCCTGCTAACCAAGGTCCCTGGAAATCTAAATTAGGGGGACAAATGACTGGATATTGTTTACACATCCCCTATACTCAGGAAGAAAACCACCCTTCCCACACTCTCCAAAGTGCCCCGACTCCATCCTCGATCAAGTGGTACACAATAGGCTGCATATGGAGTGTTTAGCCCTTCCTCAAAAGAACCTGGCATAACTCTCAGTAGGAGACAGGATATCAGAATAAATAGGTCATTGTTCCGTTCCATTAGAGCGATTCTGGTGTTCCTGTTGCTTGACAAAGACACAAGTGCCAGGAAGCGAGGTTGATTGTTTCATAGAGCTCACATTATAAAGTTCTCCTCAGTTGCTTCTTTTGAGGAGTTCCTCTGCTACAAACTCATCTGGGAAAGAGCTCTTGATCACATTTCCATGGGGAGATGGCTTTTTCTTTTATTCTACTTCTCCTGTTCACCGTCTTTTATTAATTACTCAGTAGTTCCATTTGCTAGGCATTTTGAAAGTGGAAAAGTGAGCAAGCAGCCTCAGATCTGGCTTGGGGAAGATCTTGTATTTACCAGTGGAGTGAGAAAGCCTTGTGATCAGCACCATAGACCTGTAGAAGTCAGGTCATGGGCTGGTGATAGTTCTTCTTTTCATAGTAATGAGGACACATTTTAGTCACTCTTCTTTGTGTGATTTGATCTGGGAGCCAACCAGATTTAGAAATTTTGGAAAGGTGCATATATTAGTTTGCTAGGGCTGGCTTAAACAGCAGAAATGTGTCTGAAGACCAGAAGTCCAAGATCAAGGTGTCAGCAGGTTTGGTTTCTTCTAAGCCCTCTTTCCTTGGCTTGTAGATGGCCACCTTCTCACTGTGTCCTCACATGGTCTTCCCTTCCTCTGTGTCTGTGTCCTAATCTCTTCTTCTTTTAAGGACACCAGTCACATTGGATCGGGACTCACCCTCATGCCCTCATTTAACCTTAATTACCTCTTTAAAGGCTCAATCTCTAAGCACAATCACATTCTAAGGTATGGAGGGCTAGGACCCTGAAGGGGTTCAGAGCAGTCTTCCCTAAGATGTGCCACTTTGGCATGTGGAATATTTTGACCTAAAGGCAATCATGACCCTGTGGGCTCAAGAAAAACTGCCTCTCCCTTAATGAATTTAAATTTGGGGCCTTGCCCATAATAAGAGTTATTACCAGAAATAAATTTTTATGACTTATCTGTATGGCAGGGCAAGCCTCTAATTACTGCACATCTGCTCTTGTTATCGTCCTGCGAACTCCCCTCGTCTTCTCTGAAGCCTCAGGCCCCTATCCCATTCTTTAGCTCAAGCTGAGTTCTATACTTCATTTTGCCTTTTTGTCTCTGACTTGCTCATGTATGTGAGGTCTCTGACCTTCTCATGTATGTGGGGTTCCTGTATGTACAAAATTAAATTTTATATTTTCCTGTTAATCTGTCTCATGTCAATTTAATTTTTAGACCAGCCAGAAGAACCCAGAAGGGTTCTAGGAGGAAAATTTCTTCTTCTTCCAACAACTCCAACAGACAAATTTTGGGGACACAGTTTTGCCCATAACAATGCCTTTTTCTCTTCTTGCTGGCAGAAAATCCCCTTCTGGCTCATGATTAGACAAACGTATCTTGTTTATAAATCTCACCTATGCTCCTGAGGGCCCATCTCATCCAAGAGAAAAGTCTTTCCGGGCCGGACCCATGGCCAAGTGATTGGGTTCATGTGCTCCGCTTCTGGGGCCCAGGGTTTTCCTGTTTGGATCCTGGGTGCAGACATGGCACCGATCATCAGGCCACATAGCACAACCAGAAGGACCTACGACTAGAATATACAACTGTGTACTGGGGGGCTTTGGGGAGAAGAAGAAGTAGAAAAAAAAAAAAGAAGATTGGCAACAGATGTTAGCTCAGGTGCCAATCTTTAAAAAAAAACAAAAAGACAAAAGTCTTTTGACTGCCCAGCTTAACTTAGAAGCCAGAGGTTTCTTTCCTCCTGAGCTATAGGCTCTAAAATGGAGTTTTTCTGAGTTTCCCCAGAAAGGGGTTGGGGGCTAAGGGGTGGCTCTCTGTCTCAAGTGCCAGTGAGAACAGACAATTTTAATTTTAAAAATTGAAAAAGTTGGCATATAATTTGCAGTATTAGTGTATTTTATTTTTTTGACATAATTATTTTCTACTTCCCCCTGCCTATATAACTTTCCCCTTTTCATCTTTCTTTTGATGGCAACTAAAAAAATATTTAATTTCACTTCTATCTTTTATTATGTCACCTCAATCTAATTAAGCCAGCAACTTTTAGCAAGATTTATTTCTGTTAATATTAAGTTTATTAAAGTTTGCCTTCATTTTGCTGATGACTACTAGTGTCCTTTGAATGCTAAAAAGGATTAAAATATCCCTTTCATGTGTACATATAAATGTTAATTTAATTTTTCATTAACCCTAAGAATTTTATTTAAAAATATTAAGTACATAAATTTGAAAAGAATTTAGAATATAGACAACTGAAAGTATAACATGACAGCAAACACATAGCAGCAAAGTGTCTGAGATAAAATTATCACTCGGGATTAAGCCAGATCTGGTGGAAGCCAGATAGAATAAGTTCTTATTCTTTTACGAAGGCACACAGCTTTCTCTCTCCCAAGGCTGGACATAGTGGCTGGAGAAGTCACCTTCCACCATCAGACTGAGATGGCTCTGTGTAGGATCTATCCGGAAGGGAAATAGTGATGTAGCCAAGAGGTGAGTTGAGAAATGTGGGCCAATTCTTCCCAATTACTTGTTGAAATGTGGCAATCTCTGTAAAACATAGATGTAATAACTGGATAAAAATCAATGCCACATGGTGGACAGCACATGCTACGCTTTAAAACTCTTTTAAAGACACAATCATCTTTTCCTCTCACAATTGTTCGGTGACAGCAGAGAGTGTGTCCCCTGGGTTCTAAGCTATAAGGAGCTCGCCCAGGTGTTTGATTTCCACTTGAGATGAGGAAACTGAAACTCAGTAAAAAGAAGAAAATAATGTCCTCATCTGTTAGTCAGAAAGTTCATTGAAAAGATCATGTTTTGGTGGCAGATTTGTGGGATATACTTACTTTAGTCATAGACGGAGTTGACATAATTTTTTATTGCACTAACACAACAGACACTTAAGAAACGTAAATAAATCCAGGGCTATAAAAATCTTCTTTTCATTTTTCAGATTTTCTGAAAAGTTCTTTTCATAGAGAGCCACTTTTGTTCTGCTATTCCTTTGTCTACTTTTATACAATTGTAACACTTTCACTGTGTCCAAAAATTTGGACGCTTAAGAATTATATGTCTAAACAAAATTTCAATCATGCTAAATATGTTTATTCTTACAAATATGGTGTTTGTAAGGATTTCTCAATTTCTAAATGAATTTTTCAGGCTTAACCTGAATGATTTATTTTTTCTTAAAAATTTGTGATGCTTATCTTTGGACCAAACTGACTAAAAAAGTCTTTGGGGAGAAGGTGCTATCTCTTGATACTTTCTGTTCTTTTATTGACTGCCTTTTGCTGAGTTAATTAATCAAATAAGTGACTGGAAGAAAAGCATTTCAGAAACGGGACACAAGATAAGTATGTTTTAAAGGATGAGAGGTAGTGAGAGGTACAGAGTGTAGTGTC